AATATTGAATTGTTGAAAAATAAAAAAAGAAATTGAAAACAATTTACTTATAGCATTTCAAACCTATCAAATAAATGATTAACTTATAACGAAAAATTTGCTTTTTTTCTTTTAAAGGCTGATTTTTTTTTTATAAACCATAATGAGTTTTCAAGCTTAATTTTATTTCAACTATATACAAAATCAATTTAAATTTGCTGGAATAAATAAAATACCTTAATTTATAGTATTTCGGCAATTGAATGATTCTTGCTATTTAACAATTTCAGAAATTACCTGCAAACGTTGTCCATCGTCAAATTCTTAAGCCGGTCGTTCTTTGGAAGCGATTTCGTCCGAATCGCGTTTTTCAGAAATCGACTAAAAAAAGACTATAATTTTTTTAATTAAATTATATTCGACACACATGAACAAATCGACAGCCAGTTTCATTCGAATTCATCTGAGCGCTCTCCCGATATTACAAAAAAATGTATTTAAGTTCTGTTCGTTAGACTGAAATAATTATCTTGCGTAAAAACTACTAATGCTGTAAAATTTTACAAAGAGCGGAAAAATGTCAGGAAAGAATTAGTGCATCAATTCAAAAAAAACGTCATTTGATTCCAGCTTTCAAATAAAATGTTCTGGTCGTTTTAATACCAAGACGCTTAAAAATTCGGTTGCTTTATCAAAATATGAGTATTAAATACATAAAAATAAATTCACAGCGAGTTTCATTAAAATCCATTGTGTCATTCTCCTGATATTTCAAAGAACGTATTTTTGTTTTTTTTAGCAGACGATCCAGACATTTTTTCAAAATAAAAGTTGGGACAGATCGTCTTTTTTGGAGCCAAAAGCGTCGCTGTGGCCTTTTGGTCATGTGCTTACGGGACACATTGTATATATTAATAATAATTAATAATTTATTTCAGATCATTGTACAAGTAAATTAATAAACCTAAAAGTAATAAAAATATAAAATTGCTTGGGGCAATTTTAAAGAGAAAATCTAGGACTGTTAAAAATTATAATAAAAGCAACAATGAATCAACTACACATTAAATACTTAAGTTAAATCTATAAGAGTACACACAACTGATCATTGTGACAGAATACAAAATAATGAGGATCGATTTTACCAAATGAATCGTTAAGAAAACTTAACAAAAAAAATTGAATTTTGCTACAATTATGACTGACTAAATCATTACACTAATGATGGAAAAGAATTATGAGATTCAAAACAGTAAATTAGAACGCATTTATGAATCATCTTGCCTAATTAAATTTATATAAGGAAAACCATGAAACGATTAAATTACAAAATAAAAGCAACACGAATCACAGTCACACAAGCTATATAAAAATTATATAAAAATTGAACGCGTGTCTTATTAAATGTATTGACCATTGTTGATATAGAATTTGTTTAACTGTGATCAAAAATTTATCAATCAAAAATAATTTTTATCAAATAGAAATAAGTAAATAGTAAATTCAAGTTAAAGTAATAAGTTCCAGAAACCTATGTGTGTGAATCTAGTAGACCAACGAAACATAAATGTAAATTAATAAGTTGTTCTGAGAATGGTACGTTTTCGGTCAACGCGTAGCAAAAAAAAATGTTTGCTTTCTTGTTCCGTTTTGATCGCACTTGCGTGATATTTTACGAACAGTTTCGTTACATAAATTTTCAATAAAGTATGTGTTTGCAATATAAGAAACACGTTCAGGTACGTTACTCAAATGTGAAAAAATACCAAATAAGCTCAGAAAAAATTGTATGTTACATACTCATTCACGAAGGCTATAAATTTTCTCAATTAAGCACATTTCACAGCGCAATAAAGCCCATACACAGATTATTTAAATCGGAACTGCAATTGCGATCTTACTCAAAGATAAGTTGAGCTTCGCTTACAATGTTTACCATCTTAGCAGTGCGCTCCCATTCAGGGGTGTGAAGAAATTTCGTACGATCGACAACATCGCAACTCAGCGCAGTGTAATTGAGAGGGAGGGGGGTGTAAACCAGCTCGATGACGTCACAGTTCCCTCTACTAGCAGTAGCAATGCATACTTCGTTCATTGGCCGATCATCAATTACATAATTTACTTTACAACTTGCGGGTAATGACATCAAGTTGCATTGCACTCGCCGCTCAAAGCGCTATGATGGAAAAATGATGCGAGAGCGAAAGTCCGTTTCCATTTTTTCTATTTCTGGTATTGTTTTGGTTTGTGCCGCCCTCGATTGATTCGATCGGCTTGTTTACGGCAAACATTCGAACATGCTTCAGAGCGTTTGGCGTACGTAATTGCATTCTGATCTTGCAACGTAATGAAAGAATATTCGGTACTAATGAGAGAATTAGTAGCATAATTAGCACATGCACCAATATATTTCTGAAAAAATATATTGAAAAATAAATGGAAGAAATTCATTCCAAAAACACTTTGTCATCGACACAAAAAAAATATTCGAGCTTTTTAGGGAATCCACCTTGTTGCTTAATCGCTTTGTTCACTGCACATGTGTATAGTAAATCTAGTTGGCGGCACCTTTGCACATTTAGTCAGTGCATGGTCAGTGCACTTTAGTCCGTTTTATACATGATTACTAATACTGTTTGGCCCGCAGTTACCTAATCGTTAATTTCACCGAACTTCTAATTTATTAAATTATTGATGGCATTTATTTTCTTAGCAATTTTGATTTAATTTCTGTTTCTAATAAAATATGTTCGAGTTTCTAAGATCGTTGATCCTAGGATATATCAAATCACGTTCGACTACTGAGTCATAACACTTTACCTACATAGTGACCAGTAAAAACATGATCAAAAGGGCACTGCCACATTCTTTGCCATATCCCGATCCTCTGCTAAAACTTTTCTGTAAAAAAATTATTGTTTTTTTAATTTTGTTAGAATGGTACGATGCATTTTAATCAAACTCGCTGTCAATTTGTTCCTATGTAAGACTCATGTTTCGAGGAAACAACCGAGTTCATCCGCTTTGGACAAGTGAGGAATTCTCGACGGTCTTGGCACAAAAACTACCAGAGCTTTATATTTGGTCGCCGGAATCAACTGATTTTGTTTCTGAGTTGACGCCCTAATCCTCTTTGAACATTTTTAGGCTTTTTGTAAAATTTTGTATTATTCATAGCTTTTGCGTAAATAATTTTTTTCTGTTTCCTTGATATTTAACAATTTCAAACATTAACTGCAAACGTCGTAGTAAGCGACTATGTTTTTTTATAATCAATTCATTCTCAAGCTTTTTATAATTTTTAGCTGACGGACTTTTAAAATGTTTAAGTCGTCTTTTAGAATTGTTTTTTTTTTGAATTGCGCTTATTAGAAATCGCGCGAAAAGAAGAAGCGAGTTTTTAGCAAAATACAACCCGGACGTAGGAATAAATCTATAGCAAGTTTCATTAAAATCCATCTGTGCGTTTTGCCGATAATGCAAAAAACCTAATTTAAGTTTTCCCAATGTAGCGACTTAATAAATATCAAAAATTTTCAGTTGGCAAGAGAACAGAAACAATGAATGCTACAAGATTTTATGAAGAGGATAAAAACGCCTACAAAAAGAAGCTGATTGGTAAAAATTTTAGAAATAATTTTTTACCAATCATAAGGTAAGTTTTTCCGATGTTTTGCTCTCCCAAAAGGAAGAATTTCTTCCCTGAAAAACTGATGAATGTTTTAACGCTTTGTGAATTATAAATTTTATACATGTTTTAATTGTGAATTGGTGTTTGTGTAAAAAGTTTGTGTAAAATTTTAAATCTGATGATGGCGCTGTTGTCTCGCCGAAACGTAATGAAATAAACGATGTTTCAAAATTTTTACTTCACACTTTGACTGAAACCCAGGAAAGATAGGAATATAATAACAAGTACACGCAGTCAGGAAAATAAATCAGAAGAAAGAACTTTTGTTTAACAACATATTCCATGGGATCGTAGAAAAAGATCATCTTTTCCATATAAGCTTGGCTCGATAATGTATAAAACGTGATGTACAGAGTTATTGATTGAACTTATTATTAATTTGATTAATTAATTAATTGATTAAAAACCCCGTTTTTACGTCTAATTTGAAATTAAGAGAAAAATATTAAATGTAAAACTTGTAGATATTAACGTCTAGTTTATTTTAAGATACCTAATGATACAGGGTGTGTAGCAATATGCTACATTTATTAATATAATAAGTAAGAATAATAATCCACTAAATAATGCCGCATTCCGTTTAAAAAAATGTAAGTTTGATCTCCCACTTGAATTTGAGAGACCAATATCTACAACTTTTGCATAAAATTTTTTTTCTCTAAATTTCAAATTCGGATGGAAAAACAGGGTGGCCAAAGTTCGATCAAAACAATCTACCCTGTACATTGTAGAGCAAACAGATAACCATTGATATCCAGATCCGTAATTACTAGAAAAAATGATAATATTAAGCAAATTAATTTTCATATGAAAATAAATGAATGAAGCAATGAATAATCTCCGCAAACCTTTGTATACCTTTTTGTTCCTACACAGCACAGTCAAAACTATGTCTTAACAACTTAAATATGCGATTCAACAATCTTGATTTAGTTTTACAGATTTTGGACAATTTGTTCTCCAATAAAAAAAAAGTCCTATAAACGCTTCTATTTATCATGATTGCATTTTGCTAATGAATACTTTAGTTTCATTTCATAAAAAAACATTTATATCAAAAACATACAGAACTTACCGGGACAATGACAATGAATCCGGACAAACCTTTTCTAAGCAGGAAGTCCTTTTGTTTCCACGATTTGGCAAGAAACAAACATTTTCACAAAATGGTAAGCTGCATCCTGCGTAATATATTCACATATGTATAAATATATAGATAATATATAATATGCTAAACGGTGCAAGCCAAAGGAATTTTAATTCTGCTTTCTTCGATGAACAAATTGCAAATTAATTTGTAATTCTAAACCCCTAAATAATCAAACTCATATTTTACGGAATAGAAGCTAAATTTGGAACATTTATTTAAAAATAAATTTATTTGTTACATGCGAAATGAGGTTGCTAAAATATTTAAAAATATACAATAAATATCTAATTTTCTAATCTAACTATTCCAATTTCAGTGTTAGTTTATTGGATGTTGAGTGTTCATTTCACTATAACGAAACATTTATTGTATCTGAATAAGTACACATAGCGATTTTTATACATTCAAATTTTAAGAATTGATAAATAACTCTACAAATTCATTGATAAATATGATAACTACTCAAATAAATGACCACTAAGTCGACGCTAAATAGTAGCGTATGCATAATTTCAGTTCAAATGAACACTCTCACTACAAATTATAGATTGCATTAGTTGATCAATTAAAACTATTAGTATAATTAATAAACAACATTGATTCTCAAAATATAAACCAAATAATTGAAATACTTGCATTAGTTCCTTATGAAGCGAACGTTAAATTAAATTGAATAATGCGACTAACTGGAATTCAATTAAATGCATATATGGAGAGTTTCGAAATAAGAAATACACTTTATATTCACTTTATTCAATATAAATCAATATCCATCAATTATTTTTGAATATTTTAGTTTTTAACTTAGCCAGGTGGATGTCATTATGATAGTAGTAGAGTAATTTGCATTTGAACCCTAAGATGAACCAATAATACCATTGACTGTATAAGTTACTTTGAATCCAATATTCCAAGAAAATTGGAATTTTCTAAAAGATTCCCTAGGCTAGGGAGTAGATGGCTCAAAAGTTTAACGAAATTTGCATTGTAGTAAGAGCAACAAGTCCCAGTTAAATCATTACTGAACTTACTGACCTCCATATTAAATAAAACTGCTAAAACTAATATGGAATGGTAGTTATGTGTGAATATCTTCGAGGTACATGGTATTTTAAGAAATGGTTAATGTCTTCAAATATTGGCAGTATTAAACAGTATAAAATATTAAATACAATAAAAAATAAAATAAGTTTTGTACTTTGTGATTAATAGTTACTATTGATTGACAAGCACATTAAATGCACACTTTTTGCTGTTCTTCAAATCAGAAATAATCAAGTACTAAATTAGCAAAAAAATAAGAAACGAGTGAATCTTTTCAATTGGTACGTGTAAATGAAATCTGTAGATTAGCCAAGAACTAACTTAGGCAGGTTACCATCAGAATATTTCGTCAAAGAAAACTTAAATTATCTTCAAGCAGGAAGACATTGAGAAGAACATCACAAAACGTAAAAAATTGGAGGACAAACACTCCATAAGGTGAATAGAAATTGACTAATTACCAACTCTATTTTAACATACTTCAAATAATACACCAATATTTTTAGTTAGTTTTGTCATAAACGTCTCAATAAATATTAGTTGTAGTGATTTGAAGAACAGTAAAAAGTTAACTATAATAAAAATGCATCAATATGCTTATACATGTGTATCTGCGAGTTCCTATGAACAATGTATATTATTAGACTATAATATAAAAAATAATTAACAATTATACACCCCCTCTCTCTATAAGTTGTATAAAACAAACAATGAGTATAATCAAATATCAGCCGTTTCATTGACTAATAAATATCAGGAACAGGAGACAAACTTTAATACTTATTTATATACAAAGTGTCTTGGTGCACCCACGAAACATTAGTATAAATGAAAAAACACAAACATGTTTATCAAATTAAAAATACAACTATCATCTGAAAATAATACTGAACTATGACAAATCAACTCCTTTACCTTTCCGTTCGATAAATATTTGTTTGACATATAAGAGTAGACTATAAAAAGTGTGTAAACATTTATAAAATCGTCATTGATAAAGTTGACTATAAACGCCCAAATGGATGCAAAAGTATCGATTATACATTTCTTTTAAGGCGAGTGTAAATGTTTATCATAGTATCGTTTAGTTTTAGGTCCAAAGTGAAGTAGGCAGCATTCCTTCGACTGAGGCGGCAGCAGGTGTTAAATTTTCTTTACTTAAAAAGTTTAAAGGCAGGAGCACCAAATGACCCTGCGTAACGACAGTATTACATTTAAAATTGCATTCTCAATATTAAAGAATTTTACTTACCTGGATACTTTCCAGCATTTTCTCGGCTCGAGAAAATTCCTCTACCCACAACGGTTTCGTTTCGTTATTCTTCTTAATGTCCGCAAAAGTTTCGACACTATCCGAGGGCAGCGAATGGAACACTTTTTCGTATAATTCTGTATTTAGACTAGCAGTTTTATACCAACCCTCTCTACGAACAATCCAAGAAATAGTTGAGGAAAATATCATTATCATACAAAGTTTAGAACCAAATAAACTCAATTTAATAATATACAGGATGATTCACAATCTTATGGACATAAAGCAGCGGCGTGTAGAA